CTACTACTAATACTACTACTTCAACTTGTCATGCTGTTACAATGATTTCTTATTCTCCCGCCGTCTTTTGTTTTCCGTTCATCTAATCATCATCAGTTGTCCTAAATGAAATGATAGAGATGATGATGGTGACGACGACGATGATGATGATGTTGTTGATGATGATGATGATCATGTGGAACGACGGTGGAAACTGAACCTAAACTTACGAAGAAACTACCTCTCGGCTGTCTAAGCAAATCGTCTCAATTATTACTTCCAAAAATTTTAGTATTAGTGACAGTCCACATTCCCTTCCCCGTGTCTTCGATTTTTCTGTTGATATTATCTTCATTCTTCGTCTTAAACGAACGTTTATGAAGGGTGTACCGAAATCTACAAGAAAACTGCTTCTTAATTGACAAGGCAGAAAGCATTAAATTTTAGCGTTGGCGAAATGTCTGCATGTCTGACCTCAATGGAGAAGACAGTGATTACGTCAGAATCCACACAGTACCCGTGATAAGTCAGCGAAAATCAAATAACTGTCGAAATATTTCTAACTGGTTTTAGTTTCGAACGTCCCCCCCCCTCAGTGTAAGTTACATAAATGCTAAAAGAACAGATCAATGCGTTCATCAACATTGGGCGGACCCACGCTTATGCAGAATTACACTTTCACCTTGTCTATACTAATTTTTCATGAGATATGAGACCCCTTATGGGAGAATGAGAGGTGATTGATGGATTCTGATTCGAATTCATCATCCGAGACAGTCGCCGGTGAGGGCTGATGGACACAAAAGGGACGCAGTATTTTCAAGATTAAATTGCCATACCGACACATACAAGGAGTGACCAATCTCATGAAATGTTAACCAAAATTCTGAAATGCGTTTTAGATTAGGAAGGATTACCTAAGCATAGTCGTAATTCTGATTATCTTGCGGCATAAGCCTATAATATTTCGGACTTGGCAGGATGTAAGCATTTGAATACACTGCTTTTCAATCTCCTGTAGAAACCGGGCTCGGTAAAAAATGACTACTTGAGTATCGTGCATTTTTCGCACTGATTTTCGATGGTCTTATAAATTCAAATATATTTTATAGAAGACATGCATAGAATATTCCTTTTTTACTCATTTGATAGAGAATCACGTTAGCTTTATATTTTATGCTTGCAGAAGGAGTATAATTGGGTTTTAAAAAGGTTTCTTATTATGAGACTTTTGAGACCGCGCAATGTCAATGCATACAGCATCGTACCTTTCCGTTTGTCATTGCTTCTCATGAAATGTTCGACATAGTCCGCATCCATTGCAAAATTTTATGGATTCGATAGGGTCTCTTTTTAAAGGATAGATGAATTTACGATTTTCCTTACGCGGAAGGTATGCACCTTGTGGACTAAAATCACTAGG